CGTTTAAAAAACGCTGCAAAAAGTCTTCCCTCTACGGCAATACCGACCTTTGCAACACTTGGAAAAACGCTGCAAAAGGTCATTTGCAGCGTTTTTTGGCCGCTGCAAAAACTCATTTTTGGCGTAGTGCCAATGCAACCCAGCCCTTCACCCACCACAGTCTTGTCTTTGCCGTCGCCACCTCAGCATTATCCAAATTTTAACCACGACATCGAATCAAAACATAGCAAAAATTTTATGCATAAAGTATACTGGTTAACCCCATTTGTATTTTTAATGTGTGTTATCGGATGACGTTATAAAACTGTTAAATAATAGTCTTTGAAAGATATAACTTATTCTAGTTATTTTTTACATGAAGTGACATGATTGTAACAAATCTTGAATTAAACAGCTCAATTATAACTAATGAAGTTTAGTGACACAATTAATATTTGGACAAATGCTGATCTTATGATTGGGACACAGTAACGTAAACGTGAAATTAATATTAAGTGACATTAAAAATATGAAAAGGAAAGATTATCAAAATAAAAAGAATGCAAATGCAGACAACAAAAATAAAATGAGTATGTCTTAGTTGATGACTCAATGTATTCTTATAAGACTTTTCTTTCATGATTTTTAAGATACATTTCCGCAAATTTACTGCAAGGAAAAAATATGTACGAACTTTTACCATCTCTCTCTCTCTCTCTCTCTTTTTATTTTTTATTTTTACGACGAGTGTCATAGAAATTTGCACAAAGTCATGTTAATTTAGTCTAATATGGCAGTCAGTCAACCATTGCAGTCTTATTGGAATTTTTTCTTTCTTGTTGGACAAAATTAAAGCAAAGGTCATGGCGGTTTCATGTGGTTAACGAAGACCGACGGCATTAGTCAATTGCATACGATTTCCAGGTCATATAGATCACAGTAAAAGTTTAAATAAAACCTTTAACAGCCAATTTTCATGCGTTGGATATTAAATTCAACAAATATGATTGACAAATGTAAAAAAAAAAAATCAATGCATGGTACTTGGAATTGACTTGTCTAAAATAAATTCACACATAACAAAATATTTCATGTTTAGTGGTTTGACAACAAGGAACATGGTCTTTTGTAATATGTGCAACAGCCTTAGAAAACCAATTTCTTTCTTGACTATCCAAAGAAGTAGCCGTCTATAATCAAAGGTTCAGCCACAACCAATATAAAGAACACAATATACGCAGTGCAAAAAACGAAACTAACATCAAAGAATTGTTAACCCAGTTCGACTATGCCTAATCTGGGGGGCTCAGCTACTAGTCCAATCCATTAATGCACAAAGAAAGCCTTCCAGAAAGAGTTTACATCAACCAAATATCTGATCACACGAGTCACACGAGTTTTAGTCATCAATCTAATGATCTCCTAAAACTTCAACTCAAAAAACCAAACACTAACACACTATACACAATATACAGAACCTAATCAACACAGCCAACAATCGACCCAAGGTTAATGTTACAATAGCGATTTACATATGGATTTCACAAATCGTTTCAAGATTTGAAACATCAACTAAAGAGAGAATAAGAAGAGACTTTGAGAGTACGAGCAACTCCAGAACCAAAAAACCAATAGACCGAGATGGAGAAAAATGAATCACCAAAAGTCATCAGCTAACAAGTTGAAAAACTAAGTAAATATCACATAAATCGAACGGCTCACAAACCATATGAAGAAGCACAATCCGGGAGTTAACAATCCAGCCAATTGGAGATGGCCACATGGACACACAACTTAAAGAGTTGTTATTTTTGGAAACACGTTTTTCATCTTTTAATCTTCACATTGGTTCCAAAAATGCAAACTCCCTACAGTATACTTAAATGGTGCGCTAATATGTAGAAAGGTTCAACATCATCGCCTGGGTACCTGCAAAAGATTAACCAGTATCAATATGTAATAAAGATAAATAAGATCTAAACTTATCTAAAGGTAGAATTATGGTTCCCATATCAGATTGATTAACACGGTGTGAATTTTTTCAAGTATAATCTCACCACATGCAATTTTCTCACGTATAAAATGGTACTTCACCTCAATATGTTTGGATCTTTCATGATAAATATGATTTTTTCATAATAGTAAAGCACTTTGATTATCAGTGAAAATTGTAGGTGTCTCATGTAAAAAATTCAATTCTCCCAAAATTCCCTTTAACCAGATACATTCTTTTAGAGATTCAGCTATTGCAACATATTCAGCCTCTGTATTGGATAATGCGACAATAGGTTGAAGTTGTGACTTTCAAGTGATACAATTAACACCAAGTGTAAAGAAATATGCAGTAGTAGACTTTATGCAGTAGTAGACTTTCTTTGGTCTTTATCCCCAACGAAATTAGAATTTACATACCATTTCAATGTTAATGGATCATATCCCTTTTTAAACACCAAACCTACTCTAAGTGTTCCAACTATATATCTCAATAACCACACTAACCCACTCCAGTGAGGTTTCTTCGAATTAGACATAAACATACTTAGAAAATTGATAGAATATGCCAAATCAAGCCTAGTTGTAACCATAGAAAACATGGCAGACCCTATTGTATTAGCATATGGAATGTTCTTCATATCTTTAATTTCAAATTCAGTTTTAAGACATTGGACTGAAGAGAGGTTCATGTGGACATCAAGGGGAACATTAAACGACTTAGCTTCTTTCATGCCAAATTTGGTTATGACTTTATTTAAGTATGTTTCTTGAGTTATAGCAAATATATTTTCCTTTCTGTTCCTGTTAATAACCATCCCCAAAATTTTCTTGGTATTCCCTAAGTCTTTCATATCAAATTTAACGATCATATTCACTTCTCCTAAAACCAATTTTCTGAATATACGTGTCAAACCTTATATACCATTGTCTAGGACTTTCTTTAAGTCCATAGATATATTTTTGCAACTTACACACAAAGTCAAAATTTTCTTTTTCCTCAAAGCCTTAGGGTTGACTCATGTAAATGTCCTCTTCTAGCTCTCCGTGTAAGAAAGCAGTCTTGACATCTAATTGTTCAAGTTCCCAATTAATTTGAACAACTAGTGCAAGAATCAATCTTATTGTTTTGTATTTGATTACAAGAGAGAAGATTTCATTATAATTGTTACCCCCCAAAATCAGAGGCTCTAGGTCAGCAGCATATCCACGTGGACTTCCAAGCATTCCTTATAGTCAAGCAAATGCAGAGCCAGTTAAAAAGTCAACATGGGAGTCAACAAAGTCAAGGACGAGAGATGAGGCCATTGTTCGAAGACATGCAAATGCCGAAGCTCTATTTATCCAATGTCTCCTTCAGCTCAAATAATGAAGGTCTGCTTAAAGCCTTTTGAAGTACTGAGGCACCAAAGCTCAATTGCACTAGATGCCCATAAGTCAGAAGCTGACCTCAACACACTAATGCCGAAGCTGCCTCCCAACAGATTAGAAGTTCTCATAGAACTGATTGATGGGACGCCTGTAATAAAGTGCCTGTAGCTTTTAATATGTCAGTGTGTTAGCCTATTACTAGCACGACTGACCCTTTGTCAAACATTGAATATGATGAATGGGCAATGATGTGAGTCTTTGGTCTAAGAGATGTTGCCACGGGGATGTGATCGGACGGTCACCACGTCGGTTAGGTTAGTATAAATAACCTCTCTTTGTACTAAAAACGGGGACATACAATGAAGAAATAAAGAACATCTTTATACGCTTAACTTTGTTTTACGAAAACACAAGGAAGAACATAGGTTGATATCCAAAGAATATACAATACATTTTCATATATATCCTTCCACATATTCCAATAGAAATGAGTGATTTAGTTAAACAGAACAAGCATTCGTTGAT